GGCCACTGCACTCCAGTCTGGGCGACAGAGTGAGACTCCAACTCAAAAAAGAAAAATTACCCTGATTATGAAAATGTACCCAGGACCTCTTTGGGGCCTGGTTTTCAGAAAATCTTATTTATCCATCTACCTTTTCTCCTGCCTTATTTATTTAGTTTTTGAATAGGAAATATATGGTTCAAAATGCAAACAATTTTAAAATGGCGTATAATGAAAAAAATCTTCCGTCTCCTCTCGAGTCCAGCTCTCCAGCCCTACTCTCTGAAGGCAACCAGCATTGTTAGTTCATCATACATCATTCTGAGATAGCTTGTGAATATTCAAATAATCATCAAAAAGCATACATTTAAAAGAACATCATGAACCTGTTTCATAATAAAGCATTTGCAAAAATGTAAAATCTTGCAGTGACTTTTGTATCGAAAAAGTGTCAAAAAGACATAAAATAAATAGAAAATATTACATTAAAAATCTTTTTAACTGGAGTATCATCCTTTGAATTAAATAATACAGTCTTTTTTTGTTTGTAATTGATGTACATAAAAATACTGTAGGTTGAAAATAAACGTTTTCATGCATGAATAGTCCATAGAACTTTGGAAGAAAATAACTTGACATAAACAGGTCACTGCAATCTTGATTTCTAGTCCTTGCCATTACAGAACATATTTCCTGAAATGAGTAAATAATTTACTGGAAAATTTATAACTCAAGGCCGCATGATTTTGATCAACAAAACTTTAACTCTTTCACATACCAGGTTTTAATAAGTTACTTAAAATGCAAAACTTATGACTTAAAAGATAAGTTTCCAAGGTTTTATTGATTGTACGGAACTGGAATACTTTTCTCTAATATTGGGAATATGTCCACTCTCATGACTCCTGGTTAATATTGTATTAGAAGTCTAAACTAGGGCACTAAGGCAGAAAAAGAAATAATAAGCATACAGTTTGGAATGGAAGGAATTAAACTTTCTCTATTCACAGACAACATAATTGTGTATGTGGAAAATTCCAAAGAATCTACAGAAAATCTACTTGAACTAAGTGGGTTTAACAAGCTCTCAAGATCCAAAGTCAATATACAAAAATTTTTTTTTTTAAGAAATGGAGACAAGAGCCAGGCTCAGTGGCTCAGTTTGTAATCCCACGCCTTTGGGAGGCTGAGGTGAGTGAATTGCCTGAACCCACAGATTCGAGACCCGCCTGGGCAGTGAGACCTCATCTCTACAATAAATCAAAAAATCAGCCGGGCGTGGTAGTGCATGCCTGTAATTCCGGCTACTTGGAAGGCTGAGGTGGAAGGATTGCTGGAGCCCAGTAGGTCGAGGCTGCGGTGGCCGGGAGCGGCCACTGCACTCCAGTCCAGTCTGGGTGACAGAGTGAGACTCCAACTCAAAAAAAAAAAAAAAAAGAAATGGAGACAGGGTCTTACTATGTTGTCCAGGCTAGTCTTGAACTCCTGGGCTCATGCATTCTTCCTGTCTTGGCCTCCCAAATTGCTGGGATTACAGGCATGAGCCACTGTGTCTAGTCAGACAAAATTATTTTATTTCTATATACTAGCAATGAATAACTGTAAATCAAAAATTGTAAGAGCCCAAACAGAATTATAAAGATAAAATATATAAACTTATTTTATAGAAGCCAAGAGAAGATTTAACATCATGAATATCATTGCTATTAAGAAAAATTTATTTTCACTTTATGGGGGAAGACATTTGATGCAGTCCCTCCTGTCAGCTCACAGCTCCGCTAGGGGCAGCATTTAGCTAGATACAGGTTTGTCAAAAGATCACAACAGAATATCAGAAAACATCAGTAAGTAGTGTAGAAATTATTAGAGTCTTCTAAACAATTTGTACTAAAATTTATATTACTTGGTAGTTAGTAAGTAGGAATATGTATAAATTTTGAATTCTGTGTTAGTATTAGTTTACTGGTTATATAGTTTGCATATACATTCCTTTTCTTCCTATTGACAGAATAGTGGCATATTACATTTTCTGGCTTTACTTTTATGACTTAACAGTGTAGCTTGGAGATCATTCAAAAACCTTTACAAGGAACTATTTATTTATTTAGTTAGAGTCTCATTCTGTTGCACTGGCAGGCTTATGGCTCACTGCAACCTTGAACTCCTGGGCTCAAGCAGACCTCTCTTCCCAGCCTCTCAAGTAGCTGGGGCTACAGGTACATGCCACTACACCCAGCTAATTTTTAAATTTTTTTTTGTATGCTGGTCTTGAAACCTAGGTTCAAACAGTCCTCTTGCCTCAGCCTCTCAAAGTACTAGAATTACAGTACTAGGTGTGAGCTCAACACCTGGCCAGAAGTTTATCATATATTAAAAGTTTGCCCTCTTAAAATTGACTTTCTATATTTTCATCTTTTTTTTTTTTTTTTGAGTCAGAGTCTCACTGTCACCCAGGCTGGAGTGCAGTGGTACGATCACAGCCACTGCAACCTCTACCTGCTGGGCTCAGGTGATCCTTCCACCTCAGCCTTTCAAGTAGCTAGAACTACAGGCATGCCACCATACCCAGCTAATTTTTTTTTTTAACTTATTGTAGAGATGAGGTCTTGCCAGGTTGTCCAGGCTGGTCTCCAACCCCTGGGCTCAGGCAATCGTCTCCCCTCCACCTCTAAAATGCTGGGATTACAAGCATGAGCCACCATGTCCAGCAGTATTCCCATCAATTTTTAACATTTTTTTTTCACTACAGTGTCAGAGTAGCTTCTAGAACAATATTTTAAATCTTACTCTTAATAAGTGTTACCTTTTTCTTCCTGTAGTGTGAAGATTGCTCCTGGAGCAGTTGTATGTGTAGAAAGTGAAATCAGAGGAGATGTTACTATCGGTAAGAAAATAGTTTATTAGTATTGTTTTTTTCAAGAATTGATGTGATTTAATCTGTTTTAGTGCTTTACAATTAAATATTGTATTCCATGTTTATTTCACTGATGTCCTAATCTTATTGACAGAATAATGTATCTTCTCTTGTGTTTAAAATTTCTAAAAGAACATAATGTGATGGAGGCTGTAAAATCCTGAGATGCTAATGCAGCAGTATCACAAAGTCATTCATTTATTTGAGAGATGTGCCCGGCCCTGTGCTAGCACTGGCGACACAGCAATAAGCACAGCAAAGGTGCTGCCTTCATGGAACTTTGCTGGGAGAGTGGACCATGAAATCGACAGACCTAGGGTAGATCACTCCTTGCTCTTTGCCTGCTGAGCTACTCTGGACGTATTGCTTAACTTTTATTTTTCTCATCTGTAATTGTGTATATCAGGGTTAGGATATCTTAGCTGTGTCTAGTGGTGACTTAGACATGCAAAGGTTGATTCTCTCATATAAAAGTTCAGAGATAAGTGATTCAGGGCTGACCAGTTGATTGTCCAGCACGGAGCTCCAGCCTTGCAATGACTGGAGCACCAAGTGTCATTTTGGATGAGAAAGGGGAGCAGGGGGGACAAAGGGGCATGTGTCCCAGTTGTGAGTCAGCTTCCTTTAAATAGCCTGCCTGAAAGTTCCACACAACCCTTCTCTGTGTGTCTCATAGCTAGGACTTTATCTCATGTCCGCGTCAAGCTGCAGGGGAGTTTGGGAGATACAGTCGTAGCTGGTCACATTGCTGCCTCTAATAAAGTCAGGGTTCTATTACAAGGAAAAAGAGGAGGATGGATATTGGATGGCAAAGAGCCATTTCCATCACTCCAGGAGTGCCTTTCCTAGGTTTGTTGAAAAATAATTTGAAAATTGAGTAGCGGCGGGGCTCGGTGGCTCAGCCTGTAATCCGGCGCCTTTGGGAGGCTGAGGTGAGTGGATTGCCTGAGCCCGTGGGTTCGAGACCCACCTGGGCAGCGAGAGCACATCTCTACAATAAATCAAAAAATCAGCCGGACGTGGTAGCGCATGCCTGAAATTCCGGCTACTCAGAAGGCTGAGGCGGAAGGATCGCCGGAGCCCAGCAGGTCGAGGCTGCGGTGGCCGGGAGCGGCCACTGCACTCCAGTCTGGGCGACAGAGTGAGACTCCAACTCAAAAAAAAAAGAAAGAAAATTGAGTGGCTATGTGCTCTGTAAATGTTAGTTATTAGCATTGTTAAATCTTATCAAGGTAGATTTGCTGGAGATCAAGTTCAACATTTAGATCAAATGGACAGTTGAACATGTGGCAACTTACTTAAGTAAGTTCCTCAAACTCATCCCTGGATGGGATGTCCTTGCAGCTTCATTGATGTGAGCTCTGCCTGTCACCTACATGCTACCAGAGAAGAGTTTTCAGTAAGTAATTGCACTTTCAGAGAGAAAAAGCATCCTGTTCTCTTATGTTAATAGTTTCATTAATAAAGAAAAAAAAACTGTAATGTCATTTTTTTGCTGATAAGTCTAAGCCTCCAAATAACTTAAGCATCATGTCATATAAAACCAGTGAAGATTGTGTCAGTGTTATGGAACATTGTTAAGAATTTGCTGGGCTTGGCTGGGCGCAGTGGTTCAAGCCTGTAATCCCAGCACTTTGGGAGGTCGAGGTGAGAGAATTGCCTGAGCCCAGGGGTTCGAGACCAACCTGGGCAACTTGGTGAGACCTCATCTCTAC